GGGGGGGCCCTTCTCGGCATGACGTGACGCGATGCTCCGCTTCCTCGCTCCTCTCGCTCCAGCACAGGCCCACGGGTCCAGCAAGAGGGGACTGGGGGGGGGGGGCAGTGTGTGGCTGCAGATCAGACTCAAACCTGCTCTGTGAGGGGGTCACGCTGGTGGCGGGGGCCCCAGACTCCCCCTGGAAATCAGTGAATGAGTCCTCGGCTGCCCCCGCCTTGGGGGCTTCCTGGAATTCCTGGAAGTCGTCGTCATCTGGTTTGCCCCCCTGCCGGATCACACAGCAAAACGGACGGGGGTGTAAAGTGGCACCCTAACGAAACGGTACCTTACGCGAGACAGCATCCTGGAATGACAGGTGTGAGAAACGGTGGATTAACAGAGGGGCGGCGGCTGTGCGGCACTCGGGTACCTGTGCTGGCGGGAAGCTGGCCACGAAGCTAGCGGGAGGCTGGGCAGCGGTGCTGGAGGCCACGCCCATGGAGGCCACGCCCATGGAGGCCACGCCCATGGAGGCCACACCCATGGAGGCCACACCCATGGAGGCCACACCCATGGAGGCCACACCCATGGGGGCGGGCGCTGCTGTGGGCACGGCCATGGCGACGGGCGGCTGGGCTATCATGGGCGCCGGGTGCTGGGGCAGGACGGGAGGCACGCCCATAGCCAGGGCGGGCAGAGAGGGCACCGGTGGGCTGGGGAACTGGCTCAGGACATCCAGACCCATCACCGGGAGTCCGCTCTGGGTTGGAAAGAGAAGCAGCCTGATTGGCACAGTCACCCCTCCTGGATCGGCCAGGCAGCCTGGGCACACACACCCACACGGGTACCTCTGAGGGTTAACGATAGCATGCTGCTGTTCCAATGCTCCCCGCTCACCTGCGCCACCCCGATCATGGCCAGCACGCTGTACAGCTCCTCCTTGGTCAGCTTGCCGGGCGTGGTTCGGTTTGCCGTGGCCCAGATCTGGCCCAGGGCCTCCCGGGGCAGCCCGGAGGACATCAGGATGGGGTACAGCTTGGCCGTGTCGACGCCGGACGGGGTCATGCTGAACTCCAGCACCTTCTTGAACAGCTCTGCGGGGGCCACATACCAGTAGCTCGTCAAAGTGAAGCGGTGCATTCGCTAAACATTATGGACGATGTATTTAGGTAGAGAGGGCTGACGGTACCTGGGACGAGGCTGTCGTTGTACAGCCAGGCCGGCAACATCGGCTGCATGTGTTCCTGTTGCGGAAACACAGCCACACCTGCGAAGGTAGCAGAAGGCAGGGTTACTGCCTCCGGCGGGGCCACGAGGGGGCGGGGCCACGAGGGGGGCGGGGCCACGAGGGGGCGGGGCCACGAGGGGGCGGGGTCAGTGCTTTGCCCATGAGCTCAAAGCCAGGAGCTTTGAACATCAGACTGGCTGCCCTGAAGCAACAGCACAAGTACTCCCTGGCAGGGCCAGTAGCGGTACTGCTCCGTTGTTCCTATTTAGAAAGCAACACAGTATTAGCTAAAGTGCGCAATTCTAACTACTAGTATCAGCTCTGTATTTGGAATATTCACAGCAATATCAGCTAGAGCCAATCTAGCCTGTACAGCTATCAGAGCAGAGCTTGCTTATGACCCTCACTGGCTCTGATTGACTTGGTCCCTTGGTCTCCTTAGAGACAGGGGCTGCATACAGCTTACCTTCCCAGTCACCTACTACTCAAACATGTCATCTCATCTCATCTAACTCCGAGGTATTCCGACGTGTGAGGAAGTGAAGTGGCAGATACCACAGGTACAGACGCACCCCGTCCAAGGCAGCGAACGATTCGCAGAAGCAGGAAGAGAGGACAGGGCGGCACGAGAGACTAATCAGACTCGAGGCAAAAGACCCCTTTCCTCACCCATCATCATCATCATCATCATCAGAAATAAATGCTGATTGCAAGCTTGGTTTCAGCATGCCTTGAAATCACCGACGCTCACATGCCTTGGGTTGAGAAAAGGAAAGAGCACCACAGAGCAGAGGACCGGACGGCAGCCGGTCGCAGCGGCCGGTGACGGCTGAATCATACTCTAGATGCTCCGTCTGAGAGCAGCCTGGCTTAAAAGATTTGGTTGAAGCCTGATCGATGGCATGGGGGTCAGGAAGCGACAGAGAAGCTGGCCCCTACGAAGCAGGCGGGTTAAGGGGCCAAGGAGGGCATCTCCCTCTCTCACCGCTGTCCTTAGCGGCCGCTGGGGGGGCCGGGGGAGCCTGGGTGGCTGGCGACTCCACAGCGAACACCTTGCTCAGCTCATCAGATGCGCCGGCCCAGTTTCGGGCCCTGGAGCTGGGCTGAAACTGGGCTGCCACCTGTTCCCGGGGGCCCATCTGGGCCAGAAGGCGGCGGGCTTTAAAGTTAACCTGAGCCTGTCCGCTGGCATGGAAGTCGCAGGAGGACAGCAGTTTCTCTTCCAGGGAGGGGCCTAGGGGGGCATGGATGAGGAACACAGATGCCCAGTTGTGGTTTGGCTGATCTTATCTGCACAAACCTAACTTTTCCAGAGGCACCACGGCATTCCACAATTCAATGTGCACTTGTGGCCTTTAGCATGTAGCCATTAGCATTTAGCCTTCAGGAATGGTCTGCTCGCAGTTTCTGATTTGGTACAATTGCAAAACAGAAGCTAGAATGGGTCTAAAGGGGAGGGGGAAAGGCTGTTACCTTTGAACGCAGAACTGGAGCTGGAGGTGATTGGCAGAGAGTGAAGAAGAGACTGGGGCAAGGGGGAGGGGCCAGAGGAGGTGGTGGGTGGGGGAAGGGGAGGGGCTTCGACAGGACCCTGAATGAAGTCACTAAAATCGTCATCCTCCTCAGGGAAAGTGGGGGTGAGAGAGTGAGAGGTGACAGAGGAGTGGCATGGTGATGCGTCTGTAAAAATGGAGAGATTAACGTAATGACAGCACACAGACATGGAGATGGACAGCCTGATGAAGGAACACTCGCTTTCGCATAATGTTAATGATTTGATGACTGATTTATGGCAACATATAAATATTACTTCCGAAGTGCATTAAATATTCAACAATGCCTAACACAGGAAGGCTAGTAAAATAAAGACTGGAGTTAGAAACAGATTAACGGAACAGAGGATGAATATGGGAAAGACGTCTGAGCACGGAAATGAGACTACAGGTGCCCACGGAGGGAGATGGAAGCTACCAGCATTTTCCAGCACCTTCCAGCTCTGGATGAATCGCCTCTAAAGGCCACAGGGATCCTTAGGGACAAACAGCAGCGATAGGGCAGTCGTGGCTGCTTATGTGGCCGGCGACGCTTTAGGGGGGGATACCTGGCTTATTGGGGTGCGTAGAGGGCGTGGGGTGCATCTTGGCGTCCCGGCTGAACCCGTCCAGGTTCCCCTTGATAGCCTCGAGGGCATCGTCCCTGCTCCTCTCTCCTGTCTGCACACACAGCGACACCCGAGCTCAGGAGATGAGGGCCAATGGAAACAGGAGTTCAGGATCAGGACCGGGTGGAGGCCAGAACAATGGGATAATAATAATGGTGTAACAAAGGGCCAGATGGAGTAAGGGGCGTGGCCAGCGATCAGAGGCGGACCTTGGGCTTGACGCTGCTGAGCAGCCGTAGCTTTTGCTTCTGCTCCTCAAACTGCCTCCTCTTGCGGTCCTCCTCAAGCAGGCGGGCCTGCTGCTCGAGCCGCTTCCTGCGTGTGTGTGTGTGTGGGGGGGGGGTGTTACAACACTGATATTTTGGGGGTTACGTGGCACAAAAAAGGGGTGTGTGGGGGGGGGCTCTTACTGGTGCTCCTCGGCCATCTGCTTCTGCACGTCCGCAGAGAACTGGGGGCCCGGTGCCCGCATGCCCATGAAGGGGGGCTGCCCCATGAACGGCATCCCCTGGGCCTGCATCGCCATGGGCATTGTACCCTGTGCGGGGGTCCACAAATGTAAAGGGCGAGAGTCACCCCCTGGGGAGCCCAGGAGCCCCACATCAGGGCCAGTCTGGGTGGGACATACTGACCTGAATGGGCATGGCACCAGGGGGCATCTGAGCACCAAAGTTCATTCCCATCATCCCTTGCATGTTGGGCTGCATAACCTGGACCATGGGGAATCCCTGCTGCTGCTGCAAGGGAATCAAGCCTGCAGAGAGATAGACACACACACACACACACACACACACATCAGGTTATCCACTTCACATCTCAACACACACACCAAACAAACAGGTAATCTACATACCAAGTCTGAGAACCTGTCACTTTTCCCCACATGAAGCTTCCCTACTGGCTATGAACAGTAAGGAGAATGATGATTATTATGACTCGATGCCCAGACCAGGACAGGAAGCAACAAGATGGTTGGAAGAATGGATGAGTACGAGGTCTGTCTGTGTTTCTCCCAAATTAAGGAAGCGCGGCCTGATCTGAAGCTCGCCGACGGCAACTGTGCACATATGTAAAAGCTGCCAGCGACACACCAGCGCATTTATTCCTGTCTAATTATTTCTATGCTAATCAGACACGTTACGCTGGCTTTAAATCGGCCGTATTTGAAAACATCAGCTGCGGGGAGACTCGGCGCACCTCTATAAATATTATGGGATGCTAATTATTCGCCACTTATCTTCCCAGCAGGATGGAAAGCTGTGTTGGCACCCAACCCCCAACAGTAGGGTTGTTTCAATATTTTTTAGTGTATGTATTGGGGGGGATTCAGAGACAAAAATGTGGACCGAGGTGTGAGAGAACCTGGCTGTTTCATCTCCTTCAAGATTCAGGACGCAGCTTTATTTTCACCCATGGTGTGAGAAATAACCTCCTCCCTACTTTGAAAACATGTTGCAAGAACTGACGTCCTTATTTGTACAACACGGTGCATGCGTCAGACTGCATCCTGCTAGGCACACATTGCCCCCGCACATCGGTAGAGCTCCATCCCCCCCCCCCCCACTACCAAAGCCCCACGTTGCCATGGAACTCACATGAGCATCTCCTGGAGAGTGTCAGCCAAACACACAAAGATGCCAGGCCTTGTAAGGGCTCAGGAAACTGAAATTGTTCAGAAATGTGCTTAAAGGAAAGAGGACTTACCTTGTGGAGGCCCCAGGCCACCTCCAACTGGGTACATGAAGCTGGGAGGGAGGAGGGAGAAGGTCACTCCAGTGAAACAAATAAGCAGACATAATACAATTTTATTTAATCACACAAAGCAAGCTTTTTACATTAGCAATGTTCAGTGCTAGACCGATTAAACTGGGCCATCAACAAAGAAAAGTGGATGACTGCACCCATCAAACTAATAGTACCTGTATTTCTGAATCAATTACATTTTACCCTGAGAGCTGACATGTCAGCGTTATGGATTACAAGCAGCACAAACAGGACGCCGGTTCCAACTCTCTCCTCTCTCCGGAAAAAGGTCAAGCATCGGAAACGGACCCGCTGAAGCCAGCACTCACATGTTGTAATTAAGTTCTCACCCAGTGCATCTTCTTGGACAGTTTCACTGCTGACTTTCACACATTCCCAGCTGAAAGCGTGACCCTACGACTTTACATATTCGTCCATATGAGATGAGAGAGGACAAAACAGAACTGTAGCGCAAGGTGAGAGTCCATATGGGGGACTTCTAAGCAATGATTAACATTTAACAGTCACAAACACATAAGGCTCTTTCCACTTGTCCAAAACAACTCTTATTGTTGCTGTCAGTGTCCTGCCACAGACAGGAATGGCATAAATAAATACTGAATCAGATGTGGACAATCAAGCCAGGACACTGAAAGAAATGTCAATTCTGCGGCACTGAGTCGCGTGTCAAGGCAGCTCTGTCAACCGACAGGAAGGCCTCAGAGGAACCACATGAAATGCATCACTGACGTAACCTGTTCACAAAGCCAATATATCCCTGAAGGGAATCTATGACAGGGTAGTGCTGCTAATACCAAGGCAGTCATGTTACTCAGTACTGACACACAATATATATGAGATAGTTATCCACATACTTTGTGGAAAACCCTCCACTACAGTAGTGGACCTACTTCCATTCTAACGACTTCAAGTAATACACTGGGTTGGGGATCATGTGGTCAGCTTCACCTGTACACATCTGCAGCCAGGCCCTTCTTTCATTGTGCTATCAGGTTTCAGCCATACAGGAGCATGTCTTGCACATCCACAATGGTCAAGACATCCTATTACTACCAGCAACCAGGATCATGTTTGGTTTATGTCTATCTTCAGCATCCTGATAACTATGCCTAAAGTCTGTATTTTTTTTTAAACCCCATGGCAGAAGAGTAACATTCTGAACTACAGCGCCTCAATCTTCATGAAACATTCATCAACTGCAGTTGCCTCAATCGAAAGGAGTCTAAATTATTCAACAGGTAGGTGAATGAGTCACCTTCCGGTGTAATGTCATCGGGGGGGGCTGATACTGCTCCTTAAAAACAGGCCTTAATCAAGAATCGTCTCCAAGCCACCGACCGGGCAACACAACCAGCCGACAGCTGGATCCCAGGGCAGCCAAGGGAGCACGCATCATGAGTTCAGGGACCATGCCACCAGGCATATGCCGATGTGCCATTCGGCATATTCCGGCAGTAGCGCCCACGCTGAGCATGTGGCTGGAAATCACACTCTCATTGGTTGGCCCCGATATCCACTGAAAGGGAAGGGGCTCCCATCACACTCTCATTGGTTGGCCCCGATATCCACTGAAAGGGAAGGGGCTCCCTCAGCAGGACCGATTTCACAGGGGACAGAGAAGGTGAGGGAAAGGTTGTAAGTCCACATCCCTGAAGAGGGGTGCTGGGCTGCTGCAACACCTAAGGCAGACGCTGCTTGAATAAAACACCCAGACAAAAGATGTAAGGAACTTGATATCAGATACAAGTTTGGGTCAGTACAAAAGTATCTGCACAGACAAGAAAAAACATGATGCAACATGACACACAAGCACAAAGGAAAAAGGCAGAGAAACGAACTTCACTCTGCACAAGCTTATCACATCTGAGTGGCAAACTCACACTGACAGGCAGCAGATCAAAGATCTCAATTGATCGCTATTGAGCTAGAATGACAACAGCCAAGAATGTCAATTTATCTGTGGCATTGACACAACAACACTGATGTCTTTCTAGCAAACCTCAAATCCTTATAAGAAAAAACGCTGCAAAGAACCAAAACTGTCAATAGATTCTTTTTTCAATGACATGACAAGAGGTTGTGAAAGATATTACTGAGCCTAAACCCTGAAGAAACAACTGGCCTATCATCTTCACAAATGACTTGTTCCACTGGATGTTAAGATGAAAGAAAACTACTGCACTGAAATGAATTGTATTAAAAGGTTATAGACCTTCACTCCCATGATTGTTACTATGGGGACCGGCACCACACATATATTATTGAAGGAGCTCCGAACGTGCCAGAGCTCCGGTAGCTAAAAAAAAATCACGATTCTATAGCACAAGGCCACAGAAAACGTCTTTTAACATACAAAAGTCTGCTGGCAGAGGGGCACAGGAAAGGATCACCGTTTCCAAGGGAATTCTCAAGCTTGCTTTTAACGCTAATGTTAAAATGCCCCTATATTTATACTGCAGTGCAATCAGTATCAGCAGTAAATGAACTACAGAACCGACCATTATTTAAATGTCATTTAAGAGATGGCACAAGTAACTTAAATACAAAAATAACTCGTAATTACTTGAGATTAAAGTGACATTTGGTACTATACTCTTAACTTCAGCTTGAATGTTTCCCTTCCATAAAGCATGATGCGAATAAAGCCACTGTGGGCCAGCTGCCCATCTTAGTAGCAGGGCCGAGGGATCGCACCCTCCCCCGTCCATGACACCCCAACATCAGTTTGCAAGAAAACGACGGAGAAGCGCGGGGGGAGGGTTGGAGCGACAATGACGTCAGCTGCTATGAATGGGCAGCGTAGCCCTTCTTACCAGCACTCTTTTAAACTGTTTAGCTTCAGTCAGCAATGGGAAATCGCGCTCTGGACGACTGCTTAAATGTTTAACACACACATTCTGGTGCGCTCTAACCATAGCATTAAAAGTCAGCTTGGCGGTCTGTGCCGAGAGATGGCTAGCTAACGTACGCAACGCCGGCTACATACCTGAGCTTAATTACTAGGGGTCAACCGGGTGGGCGCAGAATTAGCAGACGGCGGCAGATGTCATTTTATACTGGTTGTATAAACATGGTTTAAATAACTTAATTACAAAAATATGTGCTTCTTTCTTTTAAATGACAGGCCTTTCGCGTACCTGGCAGGATAGCTAGGCTGCTCGAGCTTACGTTAGGCTAGGCTAACTATCTGCCTTCACACTAAAGCTACGCTTTTTCGGCAATTACAAGATCACTCTTTTAACCCACAACAAGCCAAAACGCGCAAGCAACACCGTAACCGTTCAGTCACAAGGGAAAAGCTGTCAAAAAATCCAGTACCTGCCACCTCCCCCAGCTCCTGGCCGTAGCGCCATCTTAAAAACAAGCGTCTGACAGAGGCGTCATCACCAACGTCATCACTGACGCTTCCGGGTCACCTGATCTCTGGTGACGGCAAGCATCGACGTCGATCGTTTTGCGTCATAGATTTAGGCAATTTGTCATCCGTGCATGCAACCTAAAATTAGATGAATTACCTAGACTTTCTAGACAGCTAACTTATTTTACCAGTGATTAAACAGCTGATTGTAATTCCTAATATTCTTAGGTAAAACTCCCTTTTTCTATAATCCATATTTAATGTGACTTCTGTATTTCATACTGTCTGTGCAGGTGTTCTGCTAAAGATTACTCGTTACAGATGCCCACACTGATTATTTTCTCGCATTTTATTTGCTAGGTCTGCAAAACTAACGCACCCTCTCTGGACTGGACTCATCTCATACCTGAAAGTAAACGATATTTTATATATTAATTCAATTACACTGCTCATTTGTGCACTTCTGCCACCTGTTCAGGTGGTTACGTCATTGCACTCTGACCAATGAGAAAGGAAATTTCAGCTCAGTGCATGCGGCTGTCACATAGTTCAGACGACAATAACGATACTAGGTTTAAAAAAGGGGAAAAAGATACTTTACTTGGTTCCCTGGTTACTACGTCGGGCAAAAAGCGTCCACCAAGTAAATAAATGTAAATTTATTTTCTTCATATTTATGTAGCATTGCTGGAGAAAGCATGGATAATTCCGTTGTACTTGCGCAATGACATTACAGATATTCTACTCCAGGGGTCCCCAACTCCGGTCCTGGAGAGCTACTGTCCAGTACGTTTTCAGTTCCTACCGGGCTTCTAATGAGCCACACCAGGTCTCAGGTAAATACCAGGAACAGACATGGATCATCAGAAGCCAGGAAGAATAGAAAAACCTACTGGATAGTATCTCTTCAGGAGCGAAGTTAGAGACACCTGTTCTACTCGAAGTAACAATCTTTGCATTGGCCACGTAATTCCACAAGATGTCGCCCTTGTGCTCGTCCTGGAAATTCAGACCGATTTCTCAAGTTAAGAGAAACAACGATACAGTGCTAGTGAAATTACTTGCATGTCGCTAATTAATGATGTTTAATCTTAAGTATGATGATAACTTGGTAACTGTAAATATTACTATGTATATATATTAATAATAGTAATATTTTCTCTAATAATTTTCACAAATGTAGCAGTAACATAAAACACTCCAGGAAAGTCACAAAAACAAAAAAGGTTTGTTCTGGGTCGTTGAACTTTCATGTCTTTTACTTTCCTTGCCTGGTGCGTTTTGTTTGATTAAAATTAAGCCTATTGATTATGGAGCTATTTGGCATATTTGACAAATAAGTGGTCAGACCTTGGTAGCCGTCTTCCTCCCTCTGTCTTAGCAAACACAAAGAAAAATAATCTCTGCAGCAGAGTCAAAATCAACATTATAAAAGTTACTCATGTCAGCTGAAATCATTGCATGAATTACGACCGGCGTGACCTAGGAAGCTAAGTGGCCGTCTGAACATTTCTGAAGTGTAGACGAGTTGTGAAACACGTATTGGTCTGTAATTTGTTTTTTGGGTGAAGCACTTGTTCTTGGCTGAAATGTCCCTGAGGAATGACAAAAAAGATAATTAACATACTTCAGCTCTGGGTCAGAGTTTGTAATCGATCAGTCTGCACGCGCTCAGGTTCTGAGAGGAGGGAGAAATGCATAGAGATAGAGATTTTTTTTCTTCTAACATCCCTGGGGACGGTCCCCGTTTCAAGGGGTCAAGCCCAGTTGTGTGAAATCACCACTGCCTTTTCCCCTTTGAATTTGTCCTACACTTTTACAGGCTGACTGGGGCATTGAGGCCATTGTTTGGACTGCTGCCCCAACTGTTTCATGTGGGCCCGCATTGTGAGGCCTGTGCTAAGGTGGGGTTACTGGGACGGGCCCCTCTGCTGCACCCTTTGTTCCAGCGGTGTCCCGTCACAGGAGATTTACAGCTTAATGAACGTGGCCTGGGACACGGGGCACCGCCCCTTTTCTATCCGTCACCTCGCCCCCTTCTTTTTCCATGCGCTTTTGCATTAATGGGCTCTGCCTACACATGCAACTTCTTTCCTTTCCTTGATATTCACATGGCCGGGGCTTTTTCAGGGATGCAGAAACAACTCAGGTGAAAAAGAGATGCAGGGTTGGCCCGGCAGACGCATGAGGAATTCACAGGACCATTAGACAGCCTCTCAACACTATAATTTTTGATGACTTCTTGTTTGTAACCCAACTAAGGAACAGTGGCACTGGATATGTAGTGTTCGGCATTTCTGGTCCAGAAAGTAAAAATCCAGACCAAGATTTTGTTTCTACAAATCAGTTGAGTACTCCAGTTGTGACTGGCTGGCAGAAGCAAAATCTTGGTCTGGAATTTCACTTTCTGGACCTGAAATGCCCAATACTGCAGACTATCTCTATGGTGGACGTACACCTGTAAAAGATTTGGCAAATATTTTTTCAAAAGTAAATGTAAATAAAAGCAGAATTATAGCTCTTTTTGTTAAGGGTGTTTTACTGGAAAGCTGAGCACTCTGCTGTGAATGTCTGTGCTGAAACGTCGGCTGTGGCAGTCGCTCATACAGCACGTGGGGGTGTTTTAGTGTGAACCAGAACATACGTGTGTGTATGGCGTGTGCATGCGTGCGATCGACGAGCAGGCCGATGCCATCCAGCCAGATCCACGGTGATGGATGCAGAGCCCACTGGCAGATTCCCCTATGAGTCAGGTGAACATTAACCCCAGACCACCAGGGGCAGATAAATCATTAACCCCTTCAGCGCTGGACCGTTGTGATGATGGCCGCCTGGCAAAAGCTCTCTGTCAGGATTCTTGTGTGACATATAATCAGTCATCAGGAGAAGAACTCTGCCTTTTAACTCAGAGGGCCTGAGGAAAGATGGATTCCTCACCAGGGTCCACTTTACTGAATAACAATCACTTTTGATGACTCCTCAGATGTATTTAAAATTGATACATTGATACATATGGGCAGCTGGGCATTTCCTCATTGGTACATGTGGGCAGCTGGGCTTTACCTCATCCATACATGTGGGCAGCTGGGCATTTCCTCATCCATACATGTGGGCAGCTGGGCATTACCTCATTGGTACTGTACATGTGGGTAGCTGGGTATTACCTCATCAGTACATGTAGGCAGCTGGGCATTACCTCATTGGTACATGTGGGCAGCTGGGCATTACTTCATCGGTTCATGTGGGCAGCTGGGCATTACCTCATCTGTACATGTGGGCAGCTGGGCATTACTTCATCGGTACATGTGGGCAGCTGGGCTTTACCTCATCGGTACATGTGGGCAGCTGGGCTTTACCTCATCAGTACATGTGGGCAGCTGGGCTTTACCTCATCAGTATACACTTGCCTTCCATACACGATGTCTTGGGTTTGATCCCCAGCATCTCCATTCTTCAAATGACTATGTTTATTACATCCCTTGCATTTACTGCTCTCTATTGTGTATTTATTCTCTTTCAGTATTATGCCCTAACTGATCTATTGTCATAGTGTCTCCTACAGTACCAAGCTGTGCCAATTCAAGTTTCCACCAGCCTTGGTTGAGAGGCGATGAAGATTCTGATTCTAATAATTTAAGAAGACAAGCAGACGCAATCTGCCAATGCTGGCAGCTAACCAAGATGGTTCTTTTTGTTAGGGAGGTTTCGGGGGGCAATGTCTGTAAGAATTAGGGGGGGGGGTGCTTGTATGGGGGCTAAGACAGATGCATCTTCAGCTCTGTCACATGATGGCTCACGATGCTGAAGCGTGACACCTCGCCCCCCCCCCCACTGGTGGGCCGGCTCACGGCCGCCAATTAGCCGTGGCCGAGAGCGGCCCCCTGACCCCCGGCTCCGGCCGTGCGGCCTCGTCCGTTGACCCCTCCACACCCAGCTGGAAGTGACGTAGTGCCCATTCTCAGTAGTCGCGCTAAAACACACCCCCTTCAGGCTCTTTGTGCAGTCCCTCTGCTCCCCGTGTGTTCCATTCACTGCTCTGGCTGACCCCCCCCAACCCCCATCTATGCCCCACCCCATCCCCACAGCCAGGGCCGGATCTACCGTCTCAGAGGCCCTGGGTGGGCCCATAGCCAAGAATACATTTTGGGGGGGGGTTGTGCAGACTGGGGCCTAGGCGGCTGCCTATATCCTGCCCTGCCCACAGCTGTGCCTGGGAAACTGCTTACTGTCAGAATCCTCAGTCTGAACTCGTACAGTCATTTCACAGGGACACTCGGCCCTGTTTACGGGAATCTCCCTGAGGATTCACGCCTTCAAAGTTCCATAAGCCTCTTTAAATAGGGCACATAATGTCTCCCTCATGTCACTCACCATCAAGCATGCTGCATGTGCTTCTGTAGGACAGAGATGTTGCAGTCAGATGCATCGTGAAGCGTTCAGCTGAAGCCCCAAATGAATCTGAACGATTTGTTTAGGCTCTAATGTTTGAGGTACCATGCTATCAGCTTGAGAATCATCGTAAATTCAGAGAAGAAGAATTCAGTAAGATGACGCTCAAACAGATGAGGTCTCTGTGCAGAGCCTCTGGTGTCTTTCAATCTGAGCGACGCCCCTAGTCTAGCAGTCATTATGCTCTCAAGCTCTGCGGCACACATCAGCAAGGCCTCGGGCAGGGCCTCGCACTAAAAACAGCCTCTCTATATAGCCGGTGTCCTGGTTATGCACCAATCGACCGATTTCCACACAAGAATTTGGTTTCCCTTTGGAAACGCTGCCGAGGATGTCTTGTTGATGGCTTTTCGTGCCTCTGTCGTGACCTGTCCTGTTTCACGAGTGATCATACTGTGGAAAGAACCCGGTGTGGAGGGAAGTGCAGGTCAAACTCATATCCCCGGACCCTTTCTTTGTCAGCCTAAATTTCCTTGGCTGACACACTCTGCTGCTGTATGTTTTCCCTTCTTTTCTCCCTTAGTCTGTCTCTCCCTCTCTGGGATCTTTGGAGTTGGCGGGGTGGGGGGGGCGGACAATGCTTGGGCAGTCATTAACCTGGGCGTCCCTGGCTCCGGGTCCAGCAATGGCGACACGGTGACAAATGGGTAGGGAATAGAGGGACAATGGGGGGTGCAGGTGAATTTGGTTAACAATGGCCCCTCCCTCCCTCCCACCACACCTCCCAACCCTGTTAAAAAAAAACCTGGGAAACAAAAGCTTGGTTGCAAAAGAAGAACGCATTTTTAAAAAAGAATCCATTACTCTTTTTTCTGCTGAGAGCTTGTGACGATCTAAAGAAGTTTGATTTCAAACCCCGACTATGTTGGGAGGAACTCAGTCAACAGCGGGTGGCCATGTGACAACGGCTGCAAATTAAAGGGTGTCTGTGGATGACGGGGCTATCACCCAACTAACGTGCTAGGAAGCGGAAAGGCCCAAGTCCAGCTTTTATTTTCGTATTTTAGTCTTTTATAAAGACAAAACAGGGATTTCCTAAAATACAAATGTGCTCGATTAACATTTTGACCATAATGTGTCAATATCTAGAATCTGAATTAAAAATGTTTCCATGTAGCAAATGATTAGTGCTTCAGTTCAATGGAAATGATTAGGCTGGCTGACTTCTGCATGATTATACAGACATTCTTTTGTAGCAAATCAATGTTAAATAACTGCTGGCCCATTTCCCTCCTGCCCTGCACGTCTTTTAAACTGAGAAAAGCTCTGGGACCTTTAGTGGCTCCCCAGGAGCAAAATCAAAGGCTCCATTGACAGCCTGACACAGAAACATCAGAGGATTACAGCAGCTTGCCCAGTGGGGCTCCTGCTTCCCCAGCTATGGGGCACCATCACTAACGGCCCAGGAGGAAACGGCCTCCCTGTTCCCAGCACACTGCCCCAAAGGCACCTCTGAAAGCTGCCTCTAAAAGCTGCCTCGAACCGCGTAGTTTTCTGTTACCATACAGCAATGCGGGACCACTGCTGGCAGATTAATTATGGTATCTACATCCAAGGGTCCTTTATTTTCTTGAAGGTAAATAAATCTGGAAGCTGAGGGAGGAGGCAAAAAATGGTGTGAATGTGGAGACAGTGACAGCAAAGAAAAAGTCCCCCAACCTCACGGCCAGACCCCAGGTCCGGTCCTCAGACAGGGCTTCCCTGGTTTGTGCCCATAGTTATCACGCTATGGTAGCCTGTGGGTCAGACACCCCCCTAACCCAGTTCACCCAGGATGAGCCTCTGGCAGGAACCCACACACCGATAGTTCGTTCCAGTGCCCCAGTGCCAATCCCACAAGCATAACCAAATTGCGTTCATTCCGAAGAGAGCGAAATTCCTGTCTAGCCACGCCATACTGGGACGATTCTTTGACCATGTGCCCCTCTGGCCTCCGTCACTGGTCTGCCGTCACTGGTAATCCGCAGGGGGCATGGACATGCCAGGTGGCCACACAGCAAAACACTGAATCAGTTTCCCCTGGAATATGCAGTTAACCGTTCACCAAGGCGGGGTGGGCAAACACAAAGCAGTGACTGACTCTGTTCACACAGTGATAGACAAATAACATGCAAACCAGCCCCGGGGTAGCTGCTAACATGGCAAAGGTGCCCACCCGCCGGCAGCAGGCCCCCGTCAAGCGGGGTGATTTGGAAATTCTCATCAGGCAGCCAGACCTGGTGCACAATGTCTGCTTGTGCCGTGGTGGGTTGAGGCCACTCCCAACCTCTGTCCGCTGTGATGGTAGCGGAAGCTGAAGGCTATGAGTTTCTCACAGTAATCTAATCGAGCCATTTGGGGAGCACAACACTAGGGGGCGCCAAATCTGGCCCCAAAATATTTGTTCATATTTTTGTCCATCCATCTTCCAAATGTTTGTCCTGGTCTGGGCCCTAGGATCAGACCTTTTGTGTGTTTTCCGACGCATGAGAAATATATAATTTATAATAAGCTATACGTAACTAAATCCACGAAGCTTAAATTGTTATTGTGGGACGGCTATGGCCTATTAATAGCGCATAAGGAAAGGGACACAGGTATTTTCGCAAGCTCGCACGTCGCACTCTCAGACCTGAGGAGGAGCATGAAGATGAAGCATGCCGACACGGGTTTGTTCAGTGCATCTGCCCCCCACTGGGAAGGTGGGGGAATATCATGGAAGCACGCATGGCTGGACATGGAATCAGAAACCGTCAAGGCACAGCGGTGGTCTAGCTATGGGCAGCAGCCCCCACCCTCAAAAAAAGCGCAAAAAAAACAGGAGAGTCACACATGAGCTTTCAGGCGGACATCTGTGAGTCACAGGCTAGTATCTCATATTAATCAGGTTCCGCTCGGCCAAGGGGGTCCATGTGATTCAGTAAGATGTTCGCCGAATCGGGGGAGGGCGATTTCTACCCCCCCCCCCCCCCCACACCAAGGAGGCAATGATAACAAGGGGGGGGGCACTGGCACAGGAAGGCTGCCTTCAGAAGGTGGGGGGGGGGGTCACTGTCTTCAGAAGGCGAGAGGATGGGAAGGAAATGGACCAGCACAGTAAAGGCAGTAGACTGGTTTCCAGCATGGTACTAGGTTTTCCCAGACACGGGGCCGTCTACTGTTTGACCTCAGAAAACATCGGAGGAAGCCTTTGTTTCTCCGTTACGGGCCTCAGAGCTACTATTCACCTTTCCATTGACACCTTAAATCAAACTGCCTGCTTGCTTCAACTGTAAACAATGGAAACACTAGTTTGCACAGAATTTCCCATGTCAGTCAGAGTCCATACTGGGAAATGCCGGCCCGTTCACGAAATCCTTACGAAATCCACATATTCCAAACCATAAGCTTTGGCTTCCACTAAGACGACGTCCTCTTCTGTCACGCTCTCCCTGCTTCCCACACATCTCTCACACACAGTGCTCTTAGATCAGAGAGCTTAAGCAAACAGAATCTGCTGGAGCCTGGATGCTCACCTGGTCAATTACGAGCATTCCTGACAAAGTCGTCACGAGGAAACGACCTACCGAAAAAAAGGTCAATGGTAGAAAAAAAAGAATGAAGAAATACCTGCCCCAGGGCCATGCAGCTCAGCTCAGTGCCCCGACTGCACCAGGCTTCAACACGGGCCGCACGCCGCCCAATGGGAACAATGGAGCGATCACATGACCACACCCCAGAAATGAAAACAACCATCATTCAATCATTTGGAAAAAAAAAGTTTTACTTGAAATAATGACTTTACAACAAAGTATAAATAATGATTTTAAAAGATTGATTTCCATTTTTATACAAAAATAATACATCAAAGACATAATCACTTGTGGTGTTTTTTTTCCCATCTACGGTATAACCCAGTAGCCCCCCCCCCCCGCCCCAATCAGCTGGCAGTGGGTACGTCTTCACAGATAAATGAGGATGACAGGAAAAGCTCCGTGACCTTTTTGTAAGAGCGACGTCTGGCCGCAGAGAGGACGACGTGAGGATGCTGGAGTCAGACGCGAGGGACAATTTACGCCTGAACCTATAACTAGCCCTTTATTTACAACCCGCAGGAATTTGTGCAGCATGACATGCCCCCCCCCCCCCCCC